CTAAGCACGGTCACTGAAGACAGCACTGGAACGATAACGATACAGGACTGCACTGAGTACGTCCTGCATATGATGATGATGATGGTGAACGTGACTGATGATGGTGAACTTGACTACAGAAGCAGTCCAACAGCCTTTCGTCAACTGATTTTAACTTTGTTGTGACTTGTTTTCTTGCAAATTGCGTACTTTCATTGTCAAAATACACCACTTTGTTAATTAAGAAGTGTTAATTTGTTGGAAATAAACTGTGTCCATTTTGCTTTGAACCTTGTCCTATTTTGATTTCAAAATTGTCCAGTTTGTTTTGAAAAACACCCTCAATGGTTTAAAAATCGCCTAGATTGTTTTGAAAATTGCCCAGATTGCTTTAAAAATCGCCTAGATTGTTTTGAAAAACGTCCTAGGTTTGTAAAACCTCCTACACTGATAATAAACAGTAAATTTTTTTCCTTTTCGGTACTACAACGTGTGTCATCGTCTCTGTGGCTAAGGCGATGCGAACGCTTCGTAAGGCCGGGTTCGATCCCAGCTGCGCCTTGCTTTGGTTTCGACAGTGGTATCAAGAAAGCTGACCGTCCAGAGAGAAATGGCAAACTACTGGAGGTAAATTTGCCTAGAAAAACCACACAAAAGCCAGGGGCTGTTGGGGTTGGTTCTGCAACGTCCTGTAAAGGATACACACCTAACCTAACTGCAACGTCTAAGGGGCGATTTCAACTGTTACAAGCACGCCTGGTAACTGACAGACACTTACATGAATCATCATCATCATCATGCGTCATGTTGCATGGCTCAGGGCTCCTGTGGACCTCTATGTTTTTGAAGGTCAGCCGCAGACACCATTCTTTTAATAGTCACAAGGAACGCAAATGGAGAAAAGAAATACATTAAAGATACCAACAACAGATCGTGTAGATGTCTTACTAGAGAACAAACCAATAAAAGTAACAAAGCATTTCACTTTTTTTTGGGTACTAATTTTGAAACTTAAGGAGGTGGGACGAAGGAAATTATGAAGAAGAAGAAGAATCAATCATTTGCTTCCTGGCAAACAAGATCTTCAACACCTTCACTTTCCAGCTGTCACCAGCCAAATGTATAATCTTATAAAGTGTACACGTGCATACAACAGTCTGCCACACAAAAAAAAGGACATGTTTAAGCAGATGCAAATTGCTGACATGGTTCTCGAGGCCTACTAGAGTGGGGGTTGAAGGTGGTGGGGGAAAAGAACCAGGGCATCCTAACAAGTTTGACGATATCTGATGTGCCAAAATGAAAGATGCAGATATCACAGCCTATCTGTAAACCACAACATAATATTCACTCAGAGGATACCATTATTCATATGGCTAAGGAGTTGAGAACACAGCCTCACAATCCCATCCTCCCTGTGTGGGTTCCAGGGCCTTATTGGGAGGTGGGGAACCCTCACTGCCCCCCGCCCCTAGCATGTCACAGTAGGCGACTAATTAGGGGTGTTTCCTTCGAATTCGGATTGCACCTGTCTGAGAGGCAAGGAACCAACTGCCTGCACCCAGATAAGCCTCATCTGTAAAACAGACGTGCTTCACTGCTCCACGTCTGGGACACAAACACAAAGCAAAGTCAAGAAGCAGACATAAAACATCAAAACATTCTGCCTACATTTACAGCCGCTGAGAAGAAGAAAAGTAGGAGGAGGACTAAAACTCAATAATTCAAACACACCAAAGGTATGAGGCCAGCTGCAGGCAGTTTGCCAGCAGAGCAGACCACTTTCGTGGGTTTTAAGAAAAGTATGAGCGTCATCACTTAAGAAAGCAGTGGCGAATTCATGACATTTTCTTCGCTAGCAGTAGTAACGGCAGCACATTTTTTCTGCGCTACTTTAGGAGACACTTGGCAGTGAGCACCGGTGGTTAGACACTTTGCAGTGAACATCAGCATCTATCTGAGACATTTTGCAATGATCCCCAACACCTATTTTAGACACTTTGCTGTGAGCACCAGCAACTAGACATGTAGTGAGCAATAACACCTATTTCAGACACACGGATGTGAGGACTAGCTCTTATTTTAGACATTTTGTAGTAATAGCCTCCATTTTAGACACATTTTGCAGTACACATGAGCACCTATTTTAGACACTTGCACAGTGATCACCAGCAACTAGACACATGGTGGTGAACACCAGCACCTATTTTAGACATATGGTGGTGAGTATCAGCACCTATTTTAGACACACAGCGGTGAGCACAAGAACCTATTTTAGACACATGGTGGCGAGCACGAGCACCTATTTTAGACACATGGTGGCGAGTATCAGCACCTTATTTTCTCGAGGCGGGGAAAAAGATATGGGCAAACTAATGAACATAAAATTACCAAGCAAAATCACCCACACAGACAATAAATGCAAGGTTTCTTCTTAGCGCTCACCAGCTGAAAAACTACAATCCCAGTTGTTCCTCCAGTTCTTGACTTGTTCCAAAGTGAAAACTACAATCCCAGTTGTTCCTCCAGTTCTTGACTTGTTCCAAAGTGGCTGCTATCAGGAATATGTCAGTTAAGTGATTTTTTTGCAAATTCAAGTATTGTTCATGTGGTGGGTTTGTTGATTTATCTTCTTCTTCTTCTTTCGTTCGCTTGAAATAAATTATCTATATCTGCAAAGTTGTCTCTAGTATGAACTTCAGTCTTTTGTAATTCACTCAGCAACCCGTAAAGTTTTGACTTGCACCAATGTTTCTCTTGGCCAAAAGTTTCGCCTTGATATGTTGATTTATGTAATGTGCAGATAAAGGCTCCGTAGCCGCAGTGTTCACTTTCCATTTGTGTTGGTTATACTGTAAAGCTCGTTGGTTTATTTCTGTTTAGTATTTTTTTCAAAATATCTTTTTATATTGTTCTAAAACTTGAGTTGTGAGTGCACATCTCTTTTACACATCTGGCTCATTTGTATGCAGACTTCTGGATCCCCAGCCTTCAGGCAGCTGCACTCAGACTTCTGGATCCCCACCTTTCAGGCAGCTGCACTCAGACTTTGTACGAAACAGCCCTAATTAGTTACCAGTAACAAGATGCTGATTAATTAAGGGGCATTGGGACTATCAGTAAGTTGAGTTGAGTCAAGAATTGATATCACAGCACTCAGGGCATTCCCATGTGTGCTCTGTCCTAATTTTCAGCAGCCAGCACAGAGTTCCAATACTGATGGTACCAGTTACAATCTGGTTATGTGTCCTTCCTGCCTTTCCTCTGAGTAAAGTGAGCCGGCCAGACCCTCTGGTTACACCAAGGTGCCTCATTCTCTCCAGGCCATAATAATCTTGTTTCTCTACTGATTTCTTTGCTTGTTCCCAAAGAGCCTTGACCACATCTGCCTTGTTATGTCATCATCATCATGTAGCAGGCCCTTTGCAGAACGTCGCTCTCATTGTTCTGCCTGAAAGAAACTCAGTCCCCTCCCAGCTCCCAGCCTCATGTACTTTCACACTCAAGGAGTGACTTATATCCTGTGCCCATCTTCGTGTCGGTCGGCCCCTGCCCCTCCTTCCTGGTACCATGCCTTCTGCTATAATTTTTTCCAATCTGTTGTGGCGCTTGATATGACCAAAATATTTCAGCTTCCGGGACAGGATGCTGTTTATTAGCCAATCTTCCTTGATATTCAGATCTTTCGAGATGTCAGTATTTCTCCTCTTCTGCGCCTTGTCATGTATCAACTCAAAATATCAGTGAGACAACATGCTAGTCACCTTTCACTCTCCAGGACACTAAGTGGCACTCCTTTTAGCCTCAGATGGCTACCAAAATCAAATGACTAAATTAGAGAGAAATAAAGATGATACAAGGGCTATTCCAAAATCAACCTCCGACTGGCTGGTAAAAATGTAAAATTTACCATAGTACCACCATTCATTGCTTGCATCGTTCAGTAGTGTTTAGCTCACTACATATCAACTTTCAGTTGCATATGTTCAGTGGTTCAAGAACCGCGAACATGGACACCGTTACTGTCTTTCCCAACAGCTGTTGGTGTGTTCGTTTACTTCGAGCAGAAGGTCAAAATGACGCCAAGATTTATCGATGATTGTGTTGTGCATACGATAAGGCTATGAGCAGTTTAAAATAGGAAAATTTTTAGCCACTTTCCCTTACAGCCCTGACTTAAAAGCAAGCGATTATCATCTTTTCAGCAAGAAGGAGATCTGGTTGGTTACCCAGCACTTCAGCAACCAATGAGGAGCTCATGGATGGAGTCAACAAATGGCGAATTACCCTGGTTGCACAAAACCTTGATGGGAGGTTGCAAAAACTTGTGCATGAATTTAGGTGACGACTATGTGGAAAAGTAAGGAAGTGATGCAGATAACTTTTGTGTGTATTTTATAGTCAATTTATTTAAATTATTGAAAGGCTGATTTTCTAATAGCCCTCATATCTATTGTATTAAAAAGAATAAATAAACAACCACAACACACAAGCACTTTGTCCTTTCTGTTATCAATAATTTCTTGAATGGAAACAAAAGTCATGAACTTACATTAACAGAAATATTGACAAATTATTGGTATTATACGCTCACAAAGTATATGGTTAACTCTTTCAGCATCACATAACGTACACGGTGTCACTGGCTGTTTTAAATGAATCATAGCCACCACATAGTGTGTTCCATTATGGTTTTACATTTGGTCAGAAAATTCGAAAAGATCTGGTTTCCGAGTGACCAACTTAACTCTCTCAACCCTAAGTAACATTTGTTGCACAAATGAATCTTTACCACAATTTCTAGCTATCATGTATTGGGTTGCTGCTATAATTATATGTGGTCAAAAAAGCTTCTTTTTTTAAATCTGGCTTTTTCTGGTGGCCACTTCCATTGTGGTTATTTCCTCCCTTGGGGATCAGCTCTGAAACCAATTTAGGCTGAAAGAGTTAAAGGCATCATAAAGGCAAACAAGACAGTCCTAAGCACGGACTTTGTAAAGAATACACTCCACAAATCACAGTCATACAAGTGTGAATCTACCAGGCAGTTTTGATCCACACATTTCACAGTGTGTTTTATCCAGGCTATTGGCGAAAGTGCAGCTGGAACATGAGAGTTTCGTTTCCCCGGTTGTTGGGGAGATTACTTCGGGCCCTAGCCGGCTGGCTGAGCAGGCAAAGCAAATGCTTGAGGCCACGTTGAGGGTGCGGCAAGACTGACACTCCCAATGAGTGGAGGTCATGTCCATGCTGCGAACAGTCCTCCCCGAGGCAGACGGATGGGGAAGAGGCACGCTGGGAGGGTCAATAGGGTTAAGAGAGTTTGTCTTGCCCAGCATTAGCCGCTCCCGGCGCAGGACGGGTTCTACATTATAGCAGCGGGGAAGTGTCGAATATCCTGGAGCCGACAATGGAGGCCGACTGAGCACAACCTCTCTCTGCAGGTGCGACACCCCAGGAGGCTGTGAGAAGTACTGAGGAACAGATGGATACATCTTGCTTTGCAGCACGGCCTCCTCATCCTTCACTGACTTTGGCTTCAATGCTCTGGAAGGAATAGGAGGAGGAGCATTGTGTCTGGCAACCAGTGAGTTACTGTGAGCACCAGGACAGTCCGCAGCAACACTGGGAGGGTGGTATACTGTCTGCAGGAAACCTGCCGAGCAGGGGCTATAAATACTTTCGGGCGTCACTGTACGATAACCTTGATCAAAGGACACTTGCTGATGGCTGGCTGAATGCTTGCTGGGCACAACCTGATGGCCTCCCATGGAGGTGTACTTTGCGCTGTGCGGATACACTTTCGATGTGGACAAATCCTGCTCAATTCCCTCGTCTATCGAAGGAGCAGGCTTGAAGTTACTTTGTGCAGGAGCCGCTCCAGACTGTTGCGATCCGCTGACTGAAAAGGATGCTGGATTTGCCAGACTCAGTTGGTTGGAAGCCGTTCCTATTCGGCTGTCACCACCGTACCCACTAAACTGTTTCCAGCTATCTATACCTTGAGGTCTGGGTATGTCTTTCATGTTCAAGTGCCGTAAACTTTCGATCATGTGATCATCTGATGTCCCCTGTGGCAAATTCCGCAGATTTTCTTTGCCTAACACATCCAGATAAGTAAATCTGTCTGGATTCACTGGTGTTACTGGAGACTGGGCCAAGACGGATAAGTACAAATCTGAAGTCCGACAAGGTGATTTGGGTGGAAAAGCAATGCCTGTTTTATCAAACACATTAGCTGAAGAGTTGCTATAGACAACATCCGATTCATACGCCACATTGTACCTCATGTTCGAACTATTACCAGTTGGTTCCCTCTTAGGCAACGCTGGCGGAGCAACATGCGAATTTAGCGATGTATTCATAATTAGGCCATTGCCCTGGGGATAAGCGTATTTTGGTGCCAGTTTGTCCCTCGAGTATTCGTCACGGAGAATGTTGCCAATGGCATCCTCCATACTCATGGACAGACCCTTGACCTTGTTGTAGTGCTCGGCAATGGTCTCACAGACTACCTGGCCCACCCTGCAGTCGAAGGCCAGCAGCAGAAGGAAGTTCTTGTTCACCTGGCCCCTGTGTACCATGGTACAGCTGTCGTGGAGCACCATATACCCGGCGTGTTCAAAGATGGACTCACAATCTGGAAGGACAGACTTGATCCGCGTTCGGTAGAAGCCCCCGTACATCTGTTCAAGTAGATAAAAATGAGGCAATCAAACAGTGCAGGCCTACATCATATGTCTTTAAAATCATCCATTATGGACACAATCAAACAATTTATTCCTTCATCATGTCTTTAAAATCATCCATTACAGACACAATCAAACAATTCAGACCTTCATCGGATGTCTTTAAAATCATCCATAATAGACACAATCAAACGATTCAGGCCTTCATCAAATGTCTTTAAAATCATCCATTATAGACACAATCAAACGATTCAGGCCTTCATCAAATGTCTTTAAAATCATCCACTTTAGACATAATAAAACGATTCAAATGTCTAAAATTATCCATTAAAAAAACAATCAAATGATCATCATCATGTCTATGAAATCATTCTTCATCGTGTGTTTATAAAATCATGTTTGAAAAGCTGCAGTAGTCCAGTGGCAACAACAGAAATGAAATGTCTATGATGGATTCTTAAAGTTAAATAAACAAGGGACAGGATCAGAATTAAGGAGATCAGGCAACAAACTGTGACGAAACCAATACTAAACTACAGCAAGAGACAACGATCAAATGGTTCTGGATATGTGTCATCAAGACTACCACAAGATAGTGCACCATAGAGAGCCCTGTCACTTAGCAACAAGGGAATCAGATCCAGAGGTTGCCCACACAGGCGATGGATAGGTGAAATTTCTGAGGCCGTGTTGTGCACACCAAGAATGGCATCAGATGCTTCTTCAGCACCAGATGTCTCTTCAGCACCAGACGTCTCTTCAGCACCAGACGTCTCTTCAGCACCAGACGTCTCTTCAGTATAAAATGTCTCTTCAATACCAGACGTCTCTTCAGTATAAAATGTCTCTTCAGCACCAGACGTCTCTTCAGTATAAAATGTCTCTTCAGTATAAAATGTCTCTTCAGCACCAGACGTCTCTTCAGTATAAAATGTCTCTTCAGCACCAGACGTTTCTTCAGTATAAAATGTCTCTTCAGCACCAGACATCTCTTCAGTATAAAATGTCTCTTCAGCACCAGATGTCTCTTCAACATCAGATCTCTTTTCTGCACCAGACGTCTCTTCAGTATAAAATGTCTCTTCAGCACCAGATGTCTCTTCAACATCAGATCTCTTTTCTGCACCAGACGTCTCTTCAGTATAAAATGTCTCTTCAGCACCAGATGTCTCTTTAACATCAGATCTCTTTTCTGCACCAGACGTCTCTTCAGCACCAGATGTCTCTTTAACATCAGATCTCTTTTCTGCACCAGATGTCTCTTTAACATCAGATATCTTTTCTGCACCAGATGTCTCTTCAACATCAGATATCTTTTCTGCACCAGACGTCTCTTCAGTATAAAATGTCTCTTCAGCACCAGGCACCCCTTCAGCACCAGGTACCAATTCAGCACCAGGTACCCTTTCAGCACCCGGTACCCCTTCAGCACCAGGTTCCCATTCAGCACCAGGTACCAATTCAGCACCAGGTACCCTTTCAGCACCAGGTACCCATTCAGCGAGGTACCCCTTCAGCACCAGGTACCCCTTCAGCACCAGGTACCCATTCAGCACCAGGTACCCCTTCAGCACCCGGTACCCATTCAGCGAGGTACCCCTTCAGCACCAGGTACCCCTTCAGCACCAGGTACCCCTTCAGCACCAGGTACCCCTTCAGCACCAGGTACCCCTTCAGCACCAGGTACCCCTTCAGCACCAGGTACCCCTTCAGCACCAGGTACCCCTTCAGCACCAGGTACCCCTTCAGCACCAGGTACCCCTTCAGCACCAGGTACCCCTTCAGCACCAGGTACCCCTTCAGCACCATTGCCTCTTCCAAACCTGATGCCCAAAGTCAAAACAAGGGTCTACAGAGAAAAAAAACAACTGTAGCAGTGGTGCAGTGACTAGATGTTTCCCTGCTGACCTCAAGATCCTGGGCTGAAATCCATACTAAGACATATATTTATTTAATAAATCATTAAGGCTCCCAGGATAACAAGCCTAAAATAGGCACAGGGCAATATCTAGGGAAGGGAAGGTGGGCAGCATGATGCTGACCATAACACTGACTGGCCTATACAAATATCAATCTAGCATCATATACCCGAGGCTCCCAGTTGGGGTTCTGGGACCCCATTGTGGGGGAAAACAAAAATAGACCCACTGCCTCCCCAACAAGCATGTCGTAGGAGTCAAATAACCGGGAGTTTCCTTCAAAGTCGGAGTACATCTGCCTGAGAGGCAAGGAACCAAGAGACTGCCTACAAGAAAAAAAAAACAGATCTGTGAAACGGATGTGCACGCAACACTCAGGTACTGGAACAAGACTAAAGTCCACAGGTGGATGAACACCCAGAATTTTCCACCAGAGTTTACAGCTGCTAAAATGGAAAGCAGAAAAGAAGAAGAAGAAATGCCTAATTTGCGGCTATCAGCAAACAAGAACAAGTACTTAGAATGTTCACACGAGGACCTGTCAGTTACAAAGAAATCAGCAACACAAGTATATACAGCCTGTAATCCATCCAAACACTAAATCAAGCCGACAAGGAAGTAAAACTATAAAGTCTATGTCTATATATAAAGGTTCAGGCAGGCAACTGTATCAATACTCTGGATTACATTCCTGGTCTGTGTCCTTGAACTTGGCTCCATTCATCTTCTTCTTCTTCGTGCTCCCCAACTGTAAACTCTGGTTGTTTATCCACTTCCCGACTGCAGTCCTGTTCCAGAGCCTGAGTGTTGCGTGTGCAACTGTTGTACAGATCTGACGCTCCATTTATATGAATGGCCAAAGAGCCAGACAAGACCAAACTGGGTTTGTTTTGTAACATTTCTCTGAGGTCATATCCGGATAGGAATCAACACAAATATGTTTTCAACATGACAACGAGTAAATCCAATAGGGAGAAAAAAGCGGGGTAAGATATGGACTGCCAGGTTGGGTAAGTTATGGAGAACATGGTTGGGTAAGTTATGGGGAACATGGTTGGGTAAGTTATGGGGAACATGGTTGGGTAAGTTATGGGGAACATGGTTGGGTAAGTTATGGGGAACATGGTTGGGTAAGTTATGGAGAACATGGTTGAGTAAGTTATAGAGAACAATGGGTAAGTTATGGAGAACATGGTTGGGTAAGTTATAGAGAACATGGTTGGGTATGTTATGGAGAACATTGGGTAAGTTATGAAGAACATGGTTGGGTAAGTTATGGGGAACATGGTTGGGTAAGTTATGGGGAACAATGGGTAAGTTATGGAGAACATGGTTGTGTAAGTTATGGAGAACATGATTGGGTAAGTTATGGAGAACATGGTTGGGTAAGTTATGGAGAACATTGAGTAAGTTATGGAGACCATGGTTGGGTAAGTTATGGAGAACAATGGGTAAGCTATGGAGAACATGGTTGGGTAAGTTATTGAGAACATGGGTAAGTTATGGAGAACATGATTGGGTAAGTTATGGAGAACAATAGGTAAGTTATGGAGAACATGGTTGGGTAAGTTATGGGGAAATGGTTGGGTAAGTTATGGAGAACATAGCTGGGTAAGTTATGGAGAACATGGTTGGGTAAGTTACGGAGAACATTTCTGGGTAAGTTATGGAGAACATGGTTGGGTAAGTTTTGGAAAACACCGTTGGGTAAGTTATGGAGAACATGGTTGGGTAAGTTATAGAGAACATGGTTGGGTAAGTTATGGAGAACATGGTTGAGTAAGTCATAGAGAACAATGGGTAAGTTATGGAGAACATGGTTAGGTAAGTTATAGAGAACAATGGGTAAGTTATGGAGAACATGGTTGGGTAAGTTATGGAGAACATGGTTGGGTAAGTTATGTGGAACATGGTTGGGTAAGTTATGGGGAACATGGTTGGGTAAGTTATGGGGAACAATGAGTAAGTTATGGAGAACATGGTTGGGTAAGTTATGGAGAACATGGTTGGGTAAGTTATGGAGAACATGGTTGGGTAAGTTATGGAGAACATGGTTGGGTAAGTTATGGAGAACATTTCTGGGTAAGTTATGGGGAACAATGGGTAAGTTATGGAGAACATGGGTAAGTTATGGAGAACACGGTTGGGTAAGTTATGGAGAACATGGTTGTGTAAGTTATGGAGAATATGGTTGTGTAAGTTATGGAGAACATGATTGGGTAAGTTATGGAGAACAATAGGTAAGTTATGGAGAACATGGTTGGGTAAGTTATGGGGAAATGGTTGGGTAAGTTATGGAGAACATAGCTGGGTGAGTTATGGAGAACATGGTTGGGTAAGTTACGGAGAACATTTCTGGGTAAGTTATGGAGAACATGGTTGGGTAAGTTTTGGAAAACACCGTTGGGTAAGTTATGGAGAACATGGTTGGGTAAGTTATAGAGAACATGGTTGGGTAAGTTATGGAGAACATGGTTGAGTAAGTCATAGAGAACAATGGGTAAGTTATGGAAACATGTTATGGAGAACATGGTTAGGTAAGTTATAGAGAACAATGGGTAAGTTATGGAGAACATGGTTGGGTAAGTTATGGAGAACATGGTTGGGTAAGTTATGTGGAACATGGTTGGGTAAGTTATGGGGAACATGGTTGGGTAAGTTATGGGGAACAATGAGTAAGTTATGGAGAACATGGTTGGGTAAGTTATGGAGAACATGGTTGGGTAAGTTATGGAGAACATGGTTGGGTAAGTTATGGAGAACATGGTTGGGTAAGTTATGGAGAACATTTCTGGGTAAGTTATGGGGAACAATGGGTAAGTTATGGAGAACATGGGTAAGTTATGGAGAACACGGTTGGGTAAGTTATGGAGAACATGGTTGTGTAAGTTATGGAGAATATGGTTGTGTAAGTTATGGAGAACATGGTTGTGTAAGTTATGGAGAACAATAGGTAAGTTATGGAGAACAATGGGTAAGTTATGGAGAACATGGTTGGGTAAGTTATGGAGAACATGGTTGTGTAAGTTATGGAGAACATGGTTGGGTAAGTTATGGAGAACATGGTTGGGTAAGTTATGGAGAACATAGTTGGGTAACTTATGGAGAACATGGTTGGGTAAGTTATGAAGAACATGTCTGGGTAAGTTATGGAGAACATTTCTGAGTAAGTTATGGAGAACATTTCTGGGTAAGTTATGGAGAACATGGTTGGGTAAGTTATGGAGAACATTTCTGGATAAGTTATGGAGAACATTTCTGGGTAAGTTTTCGAGAACATGTCTGGGTAAGTTATGGAGAACATTTCTGGGTAAGTTTTGGAGAACATGGTTGGGTAAGTTATGGAGAACATGTCTGGGTAAGTTATGGAGAACATGTCTGGGTAAGTTATGGAGAACATTTCTGGGTAAGTTATGGAGAACATGGTTGGGTAACTTATGGAAAACATGGTTGGGTAAGTTATGGAGAACATTTCTGGGTAAGTTATGGAGAACATGTCTGGGTAAGTTATGGAGAACATGTCTGGGTAAGTTATGGAGAACATTTCTTGGTAAGTTATGGAGAACATTTCTGGGTAAGTTATGGAGAACATGTCTGGGTAAGTTATGGAGAACATTTCTGGGTAAGTTATGGAGAACATGTCTGGGTAAGTTATGGAGAACATTTCTGGGTAAGTTTTGGAGAACATGTCTTGGTAAGTTATGGAGAACATGGTTAGGTAATTTATGTTTGGCAACACCTCTTTTGACCTGAAGTTCTTGTAGTCTTTTCAGTGTTGCTGATTCAACGCCGTCTCCTGATCATCTTCTCGCCCCGCTTCATGTCTCCTGATCATCTTCTCGCCCCGCCTCATTGAGAGCATTGAGAATGTCAGCTCGGTCCATTGTTTTTCCTGTACCTACCATGACCCCGACAGCAAGCCAATCTGCTCATTCATTCCCTCTTACCCCAGAGTATCCTGGCAGAAAATTAAACTAATTATAGTACCACTAGGCTTAAACACTAGATAACATCTTCCATGATTTGATTCTGCTGGGCAATATCTTATCACACATGGCCGCGTTAGCGCAGTCGATAAGAGGTTCGCGTTCAAATCCAGCTGCAACTCGCTGCAGCCCACGGTCGGTGTTCAAAACTGGGCGGTTCCCGGGGTTCACCCATCCTCTAGGTAATGGGTACCAGAGTTAACACTCTAGGGTAAATGGAGAGAACGTAGCTGTAGCTACGGAGTTACATGCGAACTGCCACACAGGCAGACAATTCTTATCAGCTGTCCGTACTGGTGGCAGAGCACTTCTGGTTTATAACTGTGTGCAATGACGTTGGTTCACATCTCCCGACTTTACCTTTACCTTACACATGGCACATTGGTGGGGACTAGCAGTCTTTCAAGCGGGAGTGGAGAAGGCAGAATTGATATTACAGACCAGAGAGTGACAGCATGAGCAAACTCAACAGGAAAGAACAAACATCAATTTTTAGACTTCGGACTGGACACTGTGGTCTTCGAGCACACCTGTACAGGATAGGCATAAATCTGCTGCCTGTGATTGTGGAGCAGAAAGACAGACCCCTGGGCACATACTACAGTACTGCCCTTACCTCTCCCAGCAAAGACTGTGGATCTGGCCCAAGGGAGCCACATTGCAAGAGAAGCTATGGGGGACCGGTGGCAACCTTAAACTCACAATCCTATTTGTGACCCAGATGGGACTCAATGTTTAGCATGACTGATGTCGAACGCAGAAGAAGAAGAAGGTGGGGACTGACAGAACTGGTAAATACCAAAACAGTAACTCCGTATCCTGCATACCTTAATTTCTTTTAATTCTGCCTTCCAAGGCTGTTCCACCAGCAGAAAGAAGTATTTCTCTAGGCCCTGAAAGGCTCTTGCCAGTGGCATCACATCTGGTAGTTCTTTTTGTGCTTGCTGCTTCAATGCTGCTTTCAACATTTCCAATATCAAGGTATTCTCAAACAGATCTTTGGAGGTTGCCTGAAACAGCAGCATGGTATAACATGGTAACATAATGAATAGACACTTACTAAAACTGGCAGAAGCAGCAGCAATTAGGAAAGGCAACCCACAAACAAAAGGAACATGTCATTAATCTTGGACCTCTGTGGTGAGATGTACAGTGTTAACCAGAGACAGTGGGATTTATATGTTTCAGTTAAAAAAGATTCAAGTTTTGTACTTCATTATATGTTGACATACCTTGAGGAAATATACTAGAGTTATCCTAGGAAGAGAAAATGCAGCCCGAAAACAATGTTATGGCATGGGATATCAGGCCCTTTACCTTGTATGGCAGCTGCTATAGGAGGGAAGCTCTGACAGGCAGACATAGAGAACTGCTCTTCTGATCCGGCGGCTTCAGCAGAAAGTGTTGTCATTAACATATTGGTGCTATCTTTGCAACTAATGAAGCAGGCTGAAAGGGAGATCATGTTGCATGGGCAACGCATGGTGTCTACAATGCTGTCCAAGCTGTGAGCTATGGGGAGGAGATGGTCTCTACCATGCTGTCCAAGCTGTCAGGTATGGTGAGGAGATGGTCTCTACAATGCTGTCCAAGCTGTCAGCTATGGTGAGGAGATGGCCTCTACAATGCTGTCCAAGCTGTCAGCTATGGTGAGGAGATGGTCTCTACCATGCTGTCCAAGCTGTCAGCTATGGTGAGGAGACAAGAAAAAGATGACACTAGACCTCTGATTCCGATGCTGTATGCCTCTAAGAAATATAAGATACAAACTTACTTGAAGACAAGAAAAAGATGACATTAGACCTCTGATTCCGATGCTGTATGTCTCTAAGAAACATAAGATACAAGCTTGCTTAAAGATGAGAAAACCTCTTTGCAATGCTAGTGAACCACAATATTTCTCTCAGAAACATAAAATGCAAACAAACTTCTTGTTTTGTTCTCATGTTTCAGTATCAAACTTGGAGAACCAGGGTTTCTCTCTCACTATACCCTCTGACCTGTTCTACCTGGGAACCCCTGATGGTAGCTAATGCTATCATCGTTCTCAGACCTAATGAAAAAACCCAAACTCCCCCCACCTCAGCAAGGGTAGACACACACTCTTGGTGAGCTTTCTTCTTCTTATCTAGTCATGGTCTGCCATTCAGCATCAGCTTTTGAAGAGGCATCGGGTGCAAGCCTTGGTATGTGCTATATGCAGATACTGGTATTTACAGCCTCGTACAATCCATCTATCATTGGCTTGCGTGGTGGACCTCTAGATCTGCTTGCACTGTATCTAAGTGACAGGGTTCTCTGTGGTGTGCTGTTTGCTGGCAGTCAGGTCACCGGTCCACACCATTTGATCTGTTGTCTATTGATGGAGTTTAGTATCGGTTCAGTCCAGTTTCTTTCCTACTATCATCATTTCATTATGTGGGGGCTGCATGGTCTCAAACCCTGGAGGTCCTGGGTTCAAGCCCCGGAGCAGGCTGGGAATTTTTTACGTGGACTTCTAGTAATTTCCTCTGGCCTTTGGGTAGTAAGATTAGACGCTCATGTGGTTTGTTGCGCACGTAAAAAAAATCCCTTGGCAGTTGGAAATTTAAAAAAAAAAAAGAGCTGCCTAACGGCACTGCCTGAGCAAAATTTACAGATACAAATCTACCCAACGTATTTCAGGATCCTCGCCAGTGCTATGGAGTTTGTGCACTGTGCTGAGATTTTTCGGAATCAGGCTTGAGTCAGAAGTAGAGCGGAGCACTCACGGGTTACTACCCTTGTGCCGTGATGTTGGTCCATCATCTAAACCATCATTTCTGACCCAGTTTCTTCGAGCCACATTTAGGATTTATTATAGACATTTCACTTCTGTTATTTTTCTCTCTTATTATTTTGAGTGGGGGGGGGAGGAGGGGGCTCATTAACTAAAAGACCCCATTGTGGGGAAAACAAGAATAGACCCACGGTCTCCCCACCCAACAAGCATGTTATAAGAGTCGTCCAATTGGGTGCTTTCTTCGAAGGCAGACTGCATCTGCCTGAGAGGCAAGAAACCACCAATCTGCATACAAGTAAGTCAGTTCTGTAAGACAGATGTGCATGAAACACTCAGGTTCTGGAACGAAACTAATGTCCAGAGATCGATGAACAACTAGAGCTTTCCGCCAGATTTACAGCCGGTGAATGTGAAGAAGAAGAAGAAGCAACAAGAATAATGTCCGGAGGTGCGACGAACAACTAGAGCTTTCCGCCAGATTTACAGCTGGTGAATGCAAAGAAGAAGAAGCAACAAAACTAATGTCCGGAGGTGCGACGAACAACTAGAGCTTTCCACCAGATTTACAGACGGTGAATGTGAAGAAGAAGAAGAAGCAACAAGAATAATGTCCGGAGGTGCGACGAACAACTAGAGCTTTCCGCCAGATTTACAGACGGTGAATGTGAAGAAGAAGCAACAAAACTAATGTCCGGAGGTGCGACGAACAACTAGAGCTTTCTGCCAGATTTACAGACGGTGAATGTGAAGAAGAAGAAGCAGAAGAACTAAAAGAGCAGAACAGATGACACCACAGACCTCTTTGATTGCGATGCTGATGAACCGCTGGATGTCCCTTCCCAGCTGCTGCTTGTCACTGTCTTTGAGAGAAGTCTGGTGAATGTGGCACTTAAGAAACAGCTTGCGAGCTTGCTGGATAGCTTCCATGTCCCCAGGCTCTGAAGAAACAGCTGCTCTCCTTCCACATCAAAGATGACAGTGAAAGGTCAGCCCCTTGCCACAGAAAGGGTGGTAGTGAATACATCTGAAGGAGATCTGGTTTCTGATTTTCGAAATGAAAGACTCTCTTTGGCCATGTTTCTCACCATTTCTACCTGGGGAGAAATATTTTCCAGAGTGAGTTTTATTACAAATAGTTTAATACATTAAACTCTTTCAGTATACGAGGCATACACAAAAAGAGGAGAAGGACGAAGAGCATGAGGTAGACCAAAAACAAGATGGAAAGATAACATTAGAAAAACTCGACAACAGCACGATGTGTCTATGGTCGAGGCAGCCACAAGAGCAAGAAGTAAAATTCCTTGTATCTCGCTTGTCATCTGACGCGATAAATACAGGATGTGATCTTCTTCTTCAAATTCAACGGCTGTAAACTCCAGCGTAGAGCGCAGCCTTGTAGCGCGGGAAGCTCAATACACGGTTGTGAGGTTAAGCAGTCACGGGCAGGACGTGACGATTTCTTGGGTGAGCCCAGAACCAGAGCATCATGTGTCGGCTCTGCATTTATGGAAGCCTCCTTGGATGGCGGGGAATGACCATGATCTGCCCCTGCCTTCCCTTGAGGGCTAAAAACTCTACATAGAGCTGCCTTAAGGACGACATTCCGGGGGCCACACCTGTTAAAAGTCAAAGAGGACACCACACAAATGAGGCAACATCTCGACCCACACAAAACAATGGCCACAGTCAACCTAGAAATAGGCTTGACGTCTTCCTCCGAAGTCGGAGTACATCTGCCGGAGAGGCGGGGAACGAGAACTGCAAACAAATAAGCCAGTAAAACGGATGTACACGCAAAACTCAGGTCAAGGTAAAAGCCAAAAGTCCATTTTGGACGAACAACCGCGACTTACCGCCGGAATTCACAGCAGGTGAAGAAGAAGAAGAAGAACTCCAGCATAAAATTCGGGTTGTCCGACCACTTCTTTAGTCCTGTTCCAGAAACTGAGTGTTGCATGCACATCTACTTCACAGGTCTGACTCATTAGCATGCAGACTACTGGTTCCTTGCTTCTTAGGCAAATGTACTCCAACTTCGGAGGAAGCTCCAAATTAGTCGACTCTTACGACATGCTTCAGGGGTTTACAGCCGGTGAACACAAACAACACCACAAGTGGACAAACAACCACAACTTTCTGCTAGGGTGTACATGCGGCAAATGCCAAAAAGAAAATTCAGGCCGCAAGTTTTTTTTATTTTTTTAAACTGCCTCATTCAGGACTGAAACCTACAACCACCGCACTAGCAAGCAGGTGTGCTATCCACTGCAGCTCATAATTCAATGACACCAATACTGAGAAAGCTGACATAGAACACTTAGCTGTACAATGTCTTAACAAATACCCTGAAAAAGGAACAGAACCAAGCCATAAGTGCATGCTGTGTTATACAGTCTGAGAAAACAACAACACTCAATTATATTATAACTCAAATAGCCTGAAAAATGATCACTTAGTTATACCATTACAGACATAACCTGAAACAAGAACCTTAGTTATACCATTACAGACATAACCTGAAACAAGAACCCTTAGTTATACTATAGCTCAAACAGCCTGAAAAAAAAAAAACATTTAGTTATACTATACTCAAACAGCCTGAAAAAAAACAACATTTAGTTATACTATAGCTCAAACAGCCTGAAAAAAAAAAAACTTTAGTTTACCATAGCTCAAACAGCCTGAAAAAAAACAACATTTAGTTATACTATAGCTCAAACAGCCTGAAAAAAAACAACATTTAGTTATACTATAGCTCAAACAGCCTGAAAAAAAACAACATTTAGTTAAACTATAGCTCAAACAGCCTGAAAAAAAAAACATTTAGTTATACTATAGCTCAAACAGCCTGAAAAAAAAACAACATTTAGTTATACTATAGCTCAAACAGCCTGAAAAAAACAACATTTAGTTATACTATAGCTCAAACAGCCTGAAAAAAACAACATTTAGTTATACTATAGCTCAAACAGCCTGCAAAAAAAAAAAAAAAACATTTAGTTATACTATAGCTCAAATAGCCTGCAAAAAAAAGAACCCTTAGTTATACTAAAGCTCAAACAGTCTGAAAAAAGAACACTCTGTTGTACTATAGCACAAACAGCTTGAAAAATGAACAGTTAGTTATACTATAGCTCAAACATCATCATCATCATGTAGCAGGTCCTTTACAAAACATCACTCTCATCACAGTCTGCCTGAAAGAAACTCAATCTCTCGCCAGTTCTTCCGCCTCATGTACTTTCATACTCAAGGAGTCACTTATATCCTGTGCCCATCTTCGTGTCGGTCGGCTCCCTGCCCCTCCTTCCTGGTACCATGCCCTTTGCTATAATTTTTTTTCAATCTGTTGTGGCGCTTGATATGACCAAAATATTTCAGCTTCCGAGAAAGGATGCTGTTTATTAGTCAACCTTCTTTGGTGTTCAGATCTTTTAAGATGTCAATATAGCTCAAACAGCCTGAAAAAATAACACGTAGTTATACTATTATTCAAATAGCCTGGAAAAAAAGAGCAGTTAGCTATACCATTACAGACACAGCATTAAAAAAAAAACCTTTAGTTAAACTATTAAAAATAAAGCCTGAAAAAAAAACACCATTTAGTTCTACCGTTATTTAAAAAGCCTGATTTTTTTTAAAAACATAAATAAATATCCTGAAAAAAAAAACATTTATACTATTATTGAACTAGCCTAAAACAGAACACTGAAATAGACTGCAGGAATAATTTAGATCAGCGATTCCTAAATAGCTAAGACCCTACTTTTCAACAGTCATTATAAAGAAATTTTGGTTCTCCTTAAAAATACGGCCACTTATTATGGAGTACGCCGGAGTTTAGTCCCCTGAAAAATTTAGGGTAAGGAGGGGCCCGTGTGGAGTCCCTTCCAGCAGTCTCTGTCATCAACACACAGTCCGTAACTGCTGTCTATCGCAATGCGGTCAGTGTCGGACTGAAATTGCAATGCGGTCAGGCGTACTCCATAATAAGTGGCCGTAGTTTTAAGGAGAACCGAAATTTTTATAATCTATCAATATTACAATCGGGAAAAAAGAATTGCATTTTAAAGTAATTCTTTTTTTTTTTTACATAATGGACCCCTTCAATCTGTTTCCCAAATGGGACAGACTTGAATCATTACTTACACAAATTGAAAGGACGATTTATACCACTGCTCAAACAGTCTGAGCGATTTCAGTTATTCAGTTGCTCGAGTCAAATAAGCCTGACAAATTCATTTATTCCACTGCTCAAATAGCCTGAAAAATTAATTTATTCCATTGACTCAAATAGCCTTAACAATTAATTTATTCCTATGCTTAAATGGACTGAAAAATTAATTTATTCCCCTGATCAAATAGCCTAAAAAATGAATTTAGTTATAGGCTAAAAAAAAAAACCTGAAAATTCATTCATTTATGTTAATGATCAAGAAATTGCACATCACTGACATAGTCTTCAAATTTAAAAGAATAAATATGTGTCACCACATCGTCATCACTCAGTTATAAAACTATTCAAAAACCTTGAAAAAAAAAGGACACTTACTTACACAATTACTCAACAAACAGCCTGAAAATGAACAAACAGAACAGCACCCATCACAACTGGGATCGCTACACAGGTAGAGCAGCATTCTTCCCATTCTCCTATTTATTACTCATCAACAGTCAACAGGTAAAAACGTGAAGCACACACGGTGAGTCACTGTGAGCTCAATTACATGCAACTGGTTTCTTTGCCTGAAATCAACAGAATATCGTTTTCTTTATGAAGTGCCTAGAACTATCTTGGTTATACAATCATTAAAATACACGCACAGCAATTTTAAATATAGGACTTTGATCGTTAGTCATCATCGAATTTTAAGAAACATTGAAGGCATGATAATTAGCACACACTCATCAGTCAGGAAGGTTTAGGTTTTTCGGAACCGCTATTGAGTATTGATTGTTTAGAAACGCTAAGAGACAAGATTGTAAAACGGGCTACCTGTTTTAAATGTTTTTAAAGGAAACAGACCTGATAGTTGTATCCTGGTTGAAACAGGCAAGAAAGGAGACCTATCAATTCCCATGTGATAAGGCCGAAACGGTTCATGGCAGAGCAGACGATATCATTTTCATCATGCAGCAAAACTCATTATTAGTTCAATTTTAGGCTGTAAGTTTTATATTCTATAGCAATTACGAATGAATCAGAGGCGTAGCAGCTGCCACATGATGAAATTATGAATCCCCCTTTTCAAGATTCTGCTTTTAAAACGCATTTGTTAGTTGTTTTAACCAAATAAACGGGCCTAAATTCGTTTACCCCATTGTAGTTTTTTGTTCAATCGGCGTGTTATCTGACCTGAATCCTTTCACGGCGATGCAAATAACTCTGCTTCAGATCTTTATCTTGCATTTAATTAAGAAACAATAGTCCGTAGGGTAAATAAACTTACTAAAAATAACGACGAACAACGTGTAGATCCATGATTAAGTTAATAAACAGTAGAAATAGGTGAGAACTGTTCAACGGCCATTTCTGTCCTAGCAATGGCGTCACAATCACAAGTAGAAATTAAGGGTATTTCATGGGGATTCCCCGATCCCAACATTCATTGTATGAGATAACAGTGAAAGTATAAGTGCGTAGAAGGAAGGGGAGGGGCGGTGTCTCTTTTACTTCTTCTTCTTCTTTTCTTCTTCTTCTTTGTTTAGGGCTTAACGGGTTATCGACACTCAGTGTATGAGATAAAAGTGAAAGTAGTCATGCGTATAGAAGATGGAATGGACTTCTTCTTCTTCTTCTTCTTCCCACTGCCTTCTCTAAAATAGTTCAAGGAGGTCATGCTTTTTCTCAACATTCTCCTACTATTCCTTCTCTTCCGTCTCTTTCTTTCTTTCTTTCTTTCCTTCTTTCTTTCTTTCTTTCT